GCAATCCCTTCTCCTCCATTCTCCTCTAGCGATCTTGGACACATATGCACACACACCTGGCGTGAGGTTAAGCCACTGGATCTGGGATTCGAACCACGATCGACTACATGGGAGTCCAGCGACATAGCCATTGCGTGAACTGCTGGTCTCAACCCACAGAACTTAAGCAATGTTAGTTAATGTTTTGGAATCCAAAATGAATGAAGCAAAGTAAATACAAACTAGTTTCTATAATTTGTTCATTTTTTTTTCTAAACTATTCCATGTGTTTCTTTTCAGACCCATTTCCTTAATGAAGTTATACTATAACTCCTCCAGACTATAATTACATGGGTCTAAATCAGTTTATAAAATACACCTACAGAAACAAATTATATTTAGGAAGCAGATATGATTCTGACTGTATTTGGTGGAGTAATTCATCATTTGACATATTATACAGATAATTTCCATATATATATATATTCTTGAGTCTCTCACTTAAAAATATGTTTATGGTGAAATAATTAAAATTTGTAATTTTATATAAACTAGGAACTAGTTGAATTACTGTTTTTTGTTTGTTTTTCATCATTGCAAAACTGAGTCTCATTTTCACTTCCTTGTAGCTTATTAGAACATAAAATCTTAGAAATGGAGGGAAGGCACAAGGAAGAGCTGGATACCTTAAAGGAAGAGAAAGAGAACCTTCAAGGCTTGGTTACTCGTCAAACATTTATAATCCAGGAGCTGGAGAAGCAATTAAACAGAGCCACCACCAACAACAGTGTCCTACAGAAACAGCAGCTGGAGCTGATGGACACAGTCCACAACCTTGTCAACCTTTGCACTAAAGAAGGTGGTAAGAATTTCTTCCTAAGTTTGGTAGTGTAAATGTTTTATTTCACCTGAACAGGTGAATATTTAATATTGCCTTGTACACTGCACTGATTGCTGTGTAAAACAGCAGAACTTTATTCCTAGAAGCATTCATGAACTTTTGTTGACAATTTCTTTCTGTTTCTAAATTCAGAGAATGTATTCATAAGCTCAAATCTGTGAATCCAAAATATTGTTCTAAAAAACCTTACTCATTTTTTTCTAGATTTCTTGTTCTTTGAAACCCTAGATAAATCTATTATCTAGCATGGATAAATATGTGCTATTACGATGTTAAACACTTAACTATGTAGGACAGAACTTAGCCAGTTTTAAAGATTATTTCAGGGAGCCAGTAGGTGGCATGGTGAAGGCACTGGACTCTGACATTGTCAAACACACTTTGAATCCTAGACCTGGCAGCTTGCTTTCTCACTTTCCCTCTCTGTTTCTCTCTGGTCAAATTAGAAATAAAATAATAATAGTAATAATAAATAAATAAAATTAAATACATTTTTTAAAAAAAGGATTAGTTCAGAATACTAGAGAGAGTTTCAGAAGGATTCTCATTTAAAAATTAATAATGTTTCCTTTGTGGGAGAGAGTACTATTTATAAAGAAAAACAGAGAGACAATTCTTGATAAATTTTATGAATAAGATAATTCCTATTAAAAAAGTATTTATTAAGATAACTTGTGGCTCAGCTCCATAACCTAGTGGTTAAAAGGGGCTGGATCCCTTAGATCCAGCCATGATTCAGTTCTTAGCCCCAGCGAGTGCACGCACCCTATGGCAAATAACCTCTCCAAAAAAGAAAAAAAGTCTGGTGTATATACATTGGCAGGATGGAGAAAGAGGAGAAGGGATTGTGGCATGACTATGCCCCAATGAGGGGTGGTTTCTCTGTTTCTTTCACTCTCACTCTCTCTGTCTCTCTCTGTTTCTCTGTGGTAAATACTTGTGCCACTGGCAATTAAAATAAAATCATTTGTGCAGAGAAGACTGATTCAAAATAAATGTGTCACAAAGACATTTATTTTGGGGTGTCTTTGTGACAGAATTAAAAATTTTTGATATTATTAGAATGTCTGCAACCATTTTGACCATTGGAAATATTTGTAGGTTTGTATGTCTTTAGAAGACATCTATTGGTGTCTCCAATTCATCCACCCGACAATTATTGAACAGGGGCCTCTGTGTGCACCTATTCACTTCAAGTAGAACCTCTCCTGAGATTTTCAAAGTTTGGAACTTGAGATCATGTTTTGGAGTCCTATTTTCTACTCAGCCTTTCTCTGAGTGAAGATGGGATCGTAAATGGTGATGAATAAAAGAGAATGACACTTGCATTTTAAAGTTATTGTTGTCATTAAATTAGGGCATATGTGACCAGTCGTATAATATATGACACATATTCAGTGTGCAAATGAAGTCTCCTTTCATTTAATGGTGGATTCGAACTACGTGAGAAATTAACTCAATTTTATACTTCAAAGTGTAGATACGAATATAGAGGATGACTCCATATTAAGTGATCTTGTTTTAAAGACACTTCACATTTATCTATTACACTTCATTACCTTGAGTTCTATCTCCTTTAGCTAGTCTAAACAAACCTTTAATATGCTTTTTAAAGTAATATTTTAAACAGTGAGTTCCCAGAGCTCCATTTGGGTGTGCTCAGTAATGTGATTGGGAAGGAAAAAACCTGCTAATCAGTCAGAGCCTGCCAAAACCTTGAGTTAGAGTCCATTGGAAGGGAAGTTTGGTAGGATTTTGCCAGAGAATTTTAATAGAGCTCATGAGTATTTGGAAATTAAGTATTAATATGAGACATATCTATTCTTATATTGAGATGAATACATTTGAGGAAGGATTGAAAACACATTTTTCTTATCATCCTGAGACTTAAAGCACATGGAGTTGAGTAGTGGTTTTTTTCATGATTTTAGAGATGTCAAGGCCTGCTGATTCTCACAGAGCTCATATGTCTGCCTACTTATCATTACTAAATGTATTTTCTGAGTACTTGACTAATAAATTTGTTTTTAAGCTTTGAGAGGCAAGGGGTTATAATTTAAAAGTTAAAATTCCTGGCTAGGAGGAGGCCTGGGTTTGATTCCCAGTTCAACCTTATGGATGGGCTTGGAAACATGGGCCTGTAATCCTAATGAGTTGGGGAGACTGAGGAAGGAGGATTATAAGCTTAAGGCTGGCCTTGGAAGAAGATACGGAGAACATGTATAAAATCAAATATAATATGAAATAAAAAAGCTTGGTGTGGTGGCACACATGTAGTCCCTGCTGAGAGGCTGCAGCAGGAGAATCATGAATAATAGCACAGCGAGAACGTATCTTTTTTTCTTTCTTTTGAAGTGATTATTCTTTAATTTTTTCTTTACATTTAATCACTGTATATCATTAGAACCTACAAAATGAGTTTTCCCAACATGAATACACTGTTTATTAGTCCAAAGTTATTACCAAAAAAAAAGAAAAACATCCTGCCTAGGTTTGGAGTTTGGATGCATTATCAGGCAACAAAACATCTCCTCAATTCAAGATACGTGTGTTGGACAATTATGGTGGTGATCATGATAGATAGTACCCTTAACATCCACTCCTGGGTGAGAAAAGTGATTATTCTATAATAGAATTTGTATCTAAAGATAGTAACAACCATAATGTATACTGTATGTTTTCTTTGCTTCTTGATAATTTTTTCTTTAATCTTAGTATTAAGTATTATAACTGGATAGTAATATTAGACTCATAAGTGACACAAAAATGGAAAGTGACTCTCAATAATGTTGCTATCAAGATTTTAATTCTCTCTGTGTATCTTTTATTATTATGTGTTTTTTTGGACATGTTTTTGCTAACGGGCGCTCGCCAGAAAGACAGAGAGAGACAGAGAGACAGAGAGAGACAGAGAGACAGAAAGTGAGAAATCCCCCAGGGGGGATGGCCATGCTGCAATCCCTTCTCTCTCATTCTCCTCTCGGTATCTTGCACATGTGCCTGGCGTGAGTTTAAGCCACTGGGTCCGGGACTCGAACTATGGTCGACTACATGGGAGTCCAGCAACATAGCCATTATGCTAACTGCTGATCCCCAGCATATTTTTATTTTCACTGGAAATTTTTCTGAACTTAAAATTTTAAATGGCTAGCAGCATAATACTGGCTTAAACTAAAAATATTTTTTTATTTTATTCACTCTAAGGTACATGTACAAAATCTTTGTTTACCTTATGGCCAAGCACTCATTTTGCTGTATTTAAGTTTACTTATTTATTTTTCTTCACAGAAATAGAGAGGAGAGAGAGGTACTCTTGACAGGGCCATCACACTGTAGACCTAAGACACGAACCTGGAGCCTTTGCACATGGTCTTGAGAGTTGCACAACAGCCCCCATACTGCCTGTGTGATAGAAACAAAAGTTTATTTGTCATATGGATTTATTGTATATCAAAAGACTATATGTAAATATTTCACTTTAAAATTCATATACATGTTAATATTTCAAAATCAATATATGGCAGTAAATGCATCCCATTTTCTAAAATGTATATTTTTAAAACCCAGATAGAAGCCTTCTGCAAGATTTTCAAAACCATGATGAGTTGGGTCATGATCCAAAAGGTAAAAATTTTAATTGACCCTAATGGTCTTCTGTTTTCAATTTGACCCAGTCACTTGAAGAGCAAGTCTGAAGATAATGCTGTAAGACGTAATGCTACTGAACATTTCTTCAAATGTTTAGTGAGACTTTTCCCTGTCCTTGACAGCTAATTTGACCTTTATGAGACTGGCTCATCATTTCAGAAGGTCAAGATAATTGTGTCTACTTCACCATGATAGGGCAAGAATTAAATTAGATGTGCTATATGAACAAAAAGAGCACAGTGGACTCGTTAAACATTAGTCCTTCTTTCCCTTCTAAGGGCAAGATTCAATTGAACACACGTCTATTAAGTGCTATCTATAAACAAAATTTATTTTGTAGAAATTGCATACAGTGCCTTCCTGTGTTTGACTGTTATCCAAGTAGCTTCTTTTTCGTTTCATCATCTAATCTCTAAATTGGGATCATAATATTCCCCTAATTGGTTTGTAGTACACCATAATTATATACAACTTTTATGTCACAGTTGTATAGTTCAAAAATACTAAAAGAATTATTTTAAATGTTCTCACCATAAAAAGTGACAAATATGTGAGATGATATAATTAGTCTTATCGGATAGTTTCACATGGTATGATGTACACATGGCCTGGACCATCTTATTTTAACCCATAAAGATACACCATTATTATTTATCAATAAAGTAAATATTTCTAAAAAGAAATCGGAATTGGAATACATAAATACATAAGCAAATAATATATAATTACTTAATTTAAAAATTTAAAAGAATTAAGAAATATTTATAAGATACATAGTATCTATGCCTATGCATACTGAATGCTTAGCAAGGTGTAGTTGTTCTTATTTTGATGTCTTTTGATGTTCTCTGAAGAGTTTGTAATGCATTACAGATATAATAAGAGAGTTCATGGAAATTGTTACTTAGAAATATATCCTTTCCCTAAACATATGTTTGGTCCAGGAACTGTAAATCTGTCTTTGCATATAGGTAGTATTTTAGTTTTGTTTCACAGAACTTTACAACTAATAAACATTTTTTTTCTGAAATAATCCACTAAACTTTTCACCTCTTGCTCCAAATAATTTATAGTGGAGTCTTCTTTCTGTCTTCTTCTTCTTTTTAATAGTGGAGTCTTAAATAAACATTCATTTCCAACTAAATTGCACCCATTCTGTAAGGCTTCTGGGTAACACATTTATTTTTGTTTAACCTTTGTCCACAAATATTTTGCCACATTTATTCTTAGAAACATTACCAACTAAAGAAATATTGCCCTCAATGTTATAACAGTGTCAAGGCTTAGCCAATTGCTTCTTGTTTTTGGCAACCCACAGTTATTGCTGGAATTAAATAGTTTACATTGATAATGGCATGGAAACAAGATTTTAAATTCTTTGGGGGAGAATAATCAGGTGTTGCAGCTATCAAATATTCACTTTTCATTTACAGTAAGGATTAAATATATTCACATTTGCTAAACACACCCAAGGTGAATATATCATGGGAAAGAGAATGTACTAGCAAAGTATGTAATGAAAAGATGAAAGAAAATTACACAGAAAATATTACTTAAACACCATTATAAAATCACACAGGCTGATTGATGGTCTCACTGTCCAAATCATATTGGAGCACA